TGAGCAAGGCTTTATGCTTTGCATTTGAAAGATCTCTAGAGAGAGAGTTTGAGTGAAACATCTCTAGGGTAGTTTGATTATCACCATTGTTGGAGAGGTTGAGTTAACCACCACATTGGTGTATTTGATTATTTGTAACCATTATTTTCATAGTGGATTTTTTATCTGAACTAGGTCCCGTGGGTTTTTACTTCTTCATTGGAGAAGGTTTTCCCATGTTAAATATGGTTGTGTTCTTCTTATCTCTCTCTCCTGTTTTACGTTTTGATTTTTCCGCTGCGCTGCCTGACCTGATGAAGTTCAGGCCGAGGTATTGCCGAGATCCGAGATCAGGATCTTGTTGATTGACTTCCGCACAAAGGCTGCTTAGCCGAGCTTGAGGGAACCGAGTTTTTTCCCAACAACGACACACATTTTAACGTGTAGGATCACGAGTCATGAGCTGTTTTGCCACCTCTAAGCTGAACATGCATGAGTAATAATACTTTTAGGTTGATTAGATTCATAGATTAATAATTTTTATCCAAGGTTGTGATATTCTTTAACACTTATGAACGTCTGCATAAACAATAAATAAAATATTATATATTTTTAGGGAGTGTATTGGATTGAGATTTTAAAAGATTTTAATGGATTATTTTTGGACAAAAAAATACGTTGGTATTCGATTAGGATTTTAATGGATTGAAAAAAAGTCACGTGGTATTCGATTAGGATTTTAAAGGATTATTTTAGAATTCGTCCAAATCCGTTGGTATTCGATTACGATTTTAAACAATGAAATCACAATCTCGTGGTATTCAAAAATCCGACGATTTTAATGAATTTTCTATTGGTGTGAATTTCGTGAGACTTTTTAGTGAAAAAATATAAATAGGATGCCTCTCTCACAATCTCACCTTAACCCCTAGGGTTTCTTGAGATTCTTCTATTGCAGTGTTTTCTTCTTCCTTTGGCAGTTTGACTGCTCAAAATTGGGTTCCGCCATAGGAGTTTAATCAAAACTAAAAAAAATCATATTTTTGAGCGATTTTCATCACAAAACAACCCAGAAACAACAAACCAACGAGATTTTAATATAATCTATCTCAAAAATAACATATTTTTGAGCCATTTTTGAGAAATTTTGGAAGTATAAAAAGTAATTTTTCAAGCTATGGGTCACGAATTTTCTTGACACAAAAACGTGTTATTTTTGTATTAAAAATAACATAAAACAATGAAAAATAATAAGAGAACTAAAACCCTCAAACCAATTTTCATTTTACATCAATGAAACAATATCAATTTAAAGAATGATTGAAACTTTCATAATATGAACCCTATATTTCGTAACAATATAGTCATGAACGAAATTCCTTCACTATAGGAAACAATTTCAAACAATTTTTGTGTGAATAGATAATTAAAAGATTGTTTTTATCAAAAGCCCCAAAGGAATTTAAAGTTTCAATGTATCGATTGAAAAAAATTTGAGAAATTTTCTAAACTTTCATGTAATTAAACCCAAAATTTCAGATTCGAATTTTTTTAGAATATTCAATGAAAGTATGCATATGATATATGGTTAGAAAACTCTCATCACGTAAAACAAAAACTCAAGGTTTTCAAGATCAATTGCAAAAAATTCCAAACGAAATTTTATCATGAACTTTAGGTTCTATATGCAAATTTAGAATTATTTTTATAATTAAAAAAAATTGGGTCTTATAATCATATATGCATAGTTTTGATACCAAATAAAGAAGATCAATTTCAACCCATTAGATATGTGAAAAACTGTTGTTTAGTAATTTTGAATGTTTGTTAAAAATTATATTATGTTTTACTGATTGAGAAAATTATATTAAGTTTTACTCTTTTTTATTAATTTCATTGCATTTCTTTGTTATTTTTTTTATGGGAAAGATTATACTTATAACCTAATTTTTTTACAACCTTTTACAACCATATCTTAACCGTTGATTTCCGTCAATCAATATTTATTATTTTTCCAAATCAAACTCATTAATTAATATTTAATTTGCAATGAATGATAAGAAATCAACGGTTAAGATATGGTTGTAAAATCTTGTAAACAAAAATAGGTTGTAAGTATAACCTTTCACTTTTTTTTGACTCTTGTAATTTTGAATGTTTGTTAAAAATTCATATGGTTTTTTAAAATCTTATAAATCCATATTGTCCTTTCAAATCTTATAAATTCCATTAAAATCCTTTAAAATCCAATCTTATGAAATCTTGATTGTAAAAATAGTCTTTTAAAAAGTGTTTAAAATCTCTTCAATTCTAAATAGTCTTTTAAAATCTATAAGATTTTTTAGCTCAAAAAAGTCTTTTAAAATTCTAATCCAATATACTCCCTTAGTCAGTTGTGACAACATAGTATGACAATATATCACCACCGAATTTGTTTATGAGCAGATGCAAATATTTTATTTTTGCTCTCTGAATATTCTTACCTTTTTGTGAATGATTTTACTTGCATATGTAACGATGATACATTAACAATAATAATACATAGTATAATAATCATAGGAGAAGTTCCAGCTGATTCAATAAATGAGCGGAGTTCATAAAAACAAATAAACAGAGTTCATAAAAAAGTGAAAAGACAAAAAACCAAATTGGGTTCCACCTATTGAACTTTGAAAGCCCAAATATTCAAAAGAATTCTCAAAGTGTTTTGAAATTTGAAATTATAATGTATAAAAAATAAGTTTGATGAATGATGACACAAATATATCAAGAGAAAAAAAATATGTATAAAGCATTACTAGCATATATAAATAATAAAAAGAATCCAAATTTAACAACTCATGTCAAGTAAAGAATAATAAGTAAATAATAATTTTTATTCCATAATCCAATTTAATTTTTTAAGCGAGTATGGTCTCTTTGGTATTTTGATGATCCGCATAGAGAAAAGGACCCGCATAAATAAAATATTAATCCGGCATGACAATCATTCAAACCCTATTCCATCCTAAATAGTACAATAGAGAATGGATTATTTGACTCAATTGTTGATCATTTATTATGTCTATTTAATTACTGCAATTTATTAAAAATTAATAATTTAATTAAATAAATTAATTCAATAAACTATAGAATAATGGAAATAAATAAGTGGGATGAAAAATAACACTTACGGATCTTACCCAAGACTAAAAAATCATCCTCTGCATAATAATATATCAACTCCGATATAATTCAAATTGAGTTCGCGGTAACGTCATAAAATATACCCACCCTAGAGGCTATAGCTTTCACAATCATCTACAGAATTTATTGGTTCGATTCAAATCTTACACAACGCTCCTGAATTCTACTTTATGAACATACGATGTGAAAATGAAAATTACATTCACATGGGTAAGTCTATAATTGGGATATGATATATGTACACCCCTTAAAATCCCACACGTGCCATAACCCTTTTATGATTGAACTTTAAATGCCCAAATAGAGCAGAAGCAAAATAACAAAAAGTTTATTGTTTTCATCAATGTCTTATATGTTATGTGTTTCCATTTTCATATAGTAACACAGTGCTTACATGAAAATTGCATTGTCGCGTATCAAAGAAGCAAATAAATGAATGCGCATGCAACGCACAGCAAACAACCCGGAAAATTGCAGTGAAAGTCCGTGACCCCCCAAATTCATAAATGCCATCGTTTTCATCGTTCACATTTTTTCTCTCTCTTCAATATTTCAAATATTTGATTAATGAGTTTAGATAAAAAAAAGTGAAATTTCATTTTAGTGTCTTGAAATATAATTAGCTTGTAATTTATTTATTTTTAATTTGAATTGTACTATCATTTAATTCTTAAATTATTTCATTATATCTTATAAGATGTATTATGAAATACATTTAAATAGTTTTTAATTATATACTAGATTAATTTTTGCGTCAGTCAAAATTTATTTTTTTTCGGTAGAGAAATCATTTTTTAATCTTTTAAGAGTTTGCTATTACATTTTTTTTGGTACATGACTCTTTAAATTTTTTTACAGGAACACTTTATGAGAATTTTTTTTTAATTACTTTGAACATATTTAAATAGACTAAGAGCTTATTTTGATACCTAAAAAAGCATGCTTTTCATTAATTTTTTCCTTTAAAGAAATTTTTTTTATCAATTTAAGTCTTGAAAACATAAAGTTTGAATTTTTACATTCTCTTCTTTGTTTATTTGAATTTAACAAAGCTGACATTCATCTAAAAAGGATACTAATATTTTAAAATGAAATATTAATTCACACAAATCTCTAGTAATGTTTGAATTTAATAAAATCACATTGTTTTACCTTGAATTTTTTTTTTGGTAATCTGTTTTACCTTGATTTAGTTGTAAATACCATAACACTTTTTTATATTACAAATTTTTCAATATCAATAATGAAGAATGAAAAAGTTAAATGCTTCAAATTTTAAGAACTAAATTGATAAAACTTATATATATGGGAAATTAAATGTATAAATAATATATTTTCAATGACCAAAATAAGGTTTTATTTATTTAATTTAATAATATATTTAACTAAAAAGTGTAAAATAAAATAAAATAAAAATTAGGCTCTGTTTGATAATTGTTTTTAAAAATAATTTTTTTATTTTCAGAATAAAAAAATTCGTTTAATAAAACCTGTTTTATGAAAGAAAATTTAAAAATTGCAATTTTTTATTTCGCTTTTAGAATCAAATTTAAATAACATGTGTGGATTATTTTTATTTTTGTTTTAATTTTTAACTTTTAAAAAAAAATAAAAAAAAATATAAAACATTTATTTTTATAATTATTCTACGAAATAATTTTAAGAAAAGAAATCAGAACTAAAATATCAGTTTCTCAAAGTAAAAAAAAAGTGAAGATGCAAAAACGCCACGAATCATCAAGAAAAAAAGAAAAAGGAAAAAGAATTATAAGCGGGTCCTACTTTGTTTTAAACCTTTCTATTTGTATTTTCTCGAGAAATCTCTCTCTCTCTTCTCTTTCTCTCTCTAATTTGAATTCTTCTTCCACTCGTGCCTGCTTTCTTATTTATTGCAGTAATCATGTTGCGGAAGCGGTCTCACCAACCAAAATATTAATCATTTCACCATCTCACCTTGACCCAACCCTTCCTTTGGGGTTGATTCTCTCTCTAATGGGCTTTTGATCAAACCATCATTTCAGGTATTTGTCTCTTTCTATTCAACTCTTTTTTTTTTTTTTTTTTTTGGTTGTTGTTATTATCTTAAATTTACATGTTTCAGTTTCTGGGTTTCGATTTTTGGCCTCCTGGTGAAACTTTTCTTTGATGGAGTGTTTAAAGTTTCTATTTTTGTTTCAACTTTCGGGTCACCCTCTTTTTTTTTTTTCATTTCTTTTTTATTTAAAGGGTGTTGTTTGCCTGTGTCGTAGGTAGATCTGTGGTGGGTTTGGTCTGAAATCCTATGCATTTGTTTGCTGTTTTTAAGGTTAGGATTTTTGAACATGTGAAAATGATGGAACATTTTGTTGTTACCCGTGTTTCTTGGATTGGCTGGACAATTGGTTGTCTTGGATTGCGTGGGGGCATGAATTTTTTTCAAATGCTCAAAATGGGTATCTTGGATTGTCATGCATGTGTGGCTTGCTTTCACTTTGATGGTTAGATTTCTATGGCATTGACTCCATTGACCTTGTTAATGTGTTTGTACTGTCTGAAATGCCATAATAATGTGTTATCAAAAAAAAAAAAAAATGCCATAATAATGTGTGTTGGCACGGTTTTTGATTTGTGAGGTTTTGTGTTGCCATGTTTTTACTTTACTTTCATGTTATGTTGATGATTCTACATTGGTCCCTTTAATGACTTAAGCTTTGTAAAGAGTAATGTTAGCCATTCAGTCATTGTACAATTAAATGCATTCACGGCTTCTTTTCTGCTTGCTACCAGTACCTGACCATAAACCTTGTTTCTACTCATATCCTTATCCTCTTAATTAATTATTTGTCATTTATGGGATAATTTCTCTATTTAACGTTTCATATAATTAATTATTTGTCTATGTTCAATCATAACATTTCTAATTTCGATCAGAACTTTATTGCTCTTCCTCTGTTCATCAGGAAGTGTAGATTTCTCTTTACTATCTCAGTATTCTTATGCTATGTATAAGGGAATCATAATATAATAATGGTTGTGTAGGCCAGAAATCAAGATTGAGGCAGTAAAGAGACCTGTCTTGTTTGAAATTGAGATTACCGTTTTAACGTGTGAAATGTAAATGACCTTATGCTGGGTGGAGTTATTAGTATTTGAAAAATAGTTATCTTATGATGGTGAAACAAACACTCTTGTTTCCTTATGGTAGGGTCATTACTTTTTGTAGGATAAGCATTCGCAATTGATCATTGCTTTTGGCAATAAATACTCAAAAGGTATACGGGATTGAACTGTATGAAAATTTTTGAATGATGATTGCTGTTGGATTTCAGAAGTTTGTTTTCTTGTGTTTGCTTTTATAAATTCTGTCCATCAGCAGTCATAATCTATTAATCCATATAAAGTTGTTAAATTGTTTCGAAACCAAATTTGATGACTGCATTTGCTAATTATGCATCCTGAATCCTCCCCATATAGGTATGCTACTATAAATTGATTGAATTGCCATAGAATGAATGAATTCATGTTTTGATTGCCATGTAAATAATTGGTTTTCGTGAAAGAAAGAAGTTGGAAATGTGTAACACTTATTTATTATGCCGTGTTACTGTTAACTATAGTACTTTATATTTATAATGAAAAACAGGAACTCTATGTATCAAATTTCATTCCTAGTTGATTGTAATTAATTGTTTTCTTTTTCATTCTCAAAGGACTGCTGGTGGTTGGTCGTACAAGCATGGGATCTAGTAATCCATTCTTTGATGATATACGGAGCAGATCTGGTGTTGATCCTCCTCAAAATGATGAGTCAACAGAAATTAGTGAACATGTGAATGATCCTACACAGATTGCTCTTAAACCTAATGGGACTGTTTCTAGCAGTGTTCGTGAGCTTTTAGAGTGCCCTGTGTGCTTGAATGCGATGTACCCTCCAATACACCAGGTTGTTTTTCTAGTATTGATGGTTCATTGTTGATTTTCTGGTTTCCTGAGATAGCATGTGGTTGGAACATGAAAATACCGGGGCCAATTGTGTTTTGATACTCTGATTTATCAGTGTCATTGCACCTTCCACTTTGATTTATAAAACTAAGCACTATGCTCCTTGATTTTATATTTCATGTTTGGCGATGTCCTCCTTGTTTTTCTAATTAGGGACTAATTGAATTGTCACAATTAGGAGAAGCTTATATATAAGTGAGTTTTAAATCGTAGTTACCAATCCTGGATCACGTCACGGAGCGTCTGACCATAAAAATGTTACAGCGAGACACCAGATAGTGGGATGTCTGCTACACGGAGGACTATATATGTTGGATAATTAATTTATACTATACACATGTAAATGCTAAAAAACCCCAACATCAAAGACATTTTCATAATTAATTATCAAAACTCAGTCTAAAAGTCTACACAAACAATCACAATCATTCCAAGACATAATTAACACATCAATATCAGAACAGGTCAAGGAGCATAAGGGAAAAAAAAAAGTACAGCGCCAAATATTAAATATGTTTAAGCCTCTAATGCTTAAAGCAAGTAACTAAAAATAAAAAAAATGAAATTGATAGAAAACATAGTACAGTAGATATGTTACAAGAGACAAAAGAGTTGGAAAACATTAAAAAAAACAGAAACCAAGTTGTGCCTGTGAAGTGTGAAGAAAGAATACAACCAGTTGAAAAAGAAAAAGAGAACAGATACCACCTTTATGAATGAACCGAACAGAGATTGCAGAGGCTGAGCTTGACGCCAATTGAGCTGTGTTGTGCTGATCAGAGGGTTGGCCAGAAGCAACTGGAGAGCCGTGTGTTCGCATGAAAATGAGGGGAAATCACAAAAATACCCGCAAATAGTAGTTTCTATATTGCAGAAAATGAGGGTAAAGAAGGGATTTTTCTCAATGAAGCATAGCAGCTGAGATGGCTGCAATTTTTTGGGATAGAAGCTGCAACTCCCGCTTCAGCAAAACCCAATGTTATACAAAACTCATAGTGGCCCTACGTGCTGCTCCACTACTCTAGCTGTGCTATCGTACGCCATTGATGACTATGGGAAAAATTGCTTGAAAGGGTTTTCTAATTACGCCGTATGGAGTTTATATCATGTATTATGACTTTTGGTAATGAGTTGTTCTTTCTAAGTCAGTGTTGTAAGAAACACTAATTTTTGTTCTAAGTCACCTATTGTGTGCTTTTTTGTTAAATTCTTTTGGCTAACCACTAGAAGGGCCGGCTTGGCTCAGCGGTAAGCTTGCTTGCCGTGGTGTGTCAGGTCGCGGGTTCGAATCAGCCTCTCTGCAAAAAGCAGGGGAACGACTGCCTAGAGTATTCCCTTCCTCAGACACTCACGAAGTGGGTATTTGAACTGGGTCGGCCCTTTTCTTTTGGCTAACCACTATTTTGGAAGGCATGGGGAAATTGCAAAAAAAAAAATCAATAAAATTGGAGCAGCCCAATTTTTTTTTTTCCAAAAAGCGATTGTCATTAAACTATTTCTACTTTTTGCTGAGGTTTGAGAAATTGGGATTACACATTCTATGGAAAAGGATGATAAAATTTAGGGCTATCTCTGATTTGAAATATCAAATTACTAGTTTTATACATTAAGTGCTATTTCATTGGAAATAAATCTTTTCCAATTTATTTAAATGATGTGGTATTTGGGAGTTGGCTGTTGAATATTTTAACTTTGGGATAACTCTCATGCATGGAACAAGGACTTAAACAAAAATTTTCGTAGCAAGAACTATGTTTTCCATTTGTAACTTTTTTAGTTTATATCATCATTGGTGGTGTTTCTTAATGTTCAAAATGAATAAACTTTAATAAATTTTGAATAAAGAATTTTTTATTTGAAAATATAGTTAATGGCTTTTCCTTTGTTCCTAATCTTTGTTGCAGTGTTCAAATGGTCACACTTTATGCTCTGGTTGCAAACCTAGAGTCCATGACCGGTGCCCTACATGTCGCCATGAGCTTGGCAATATCAGATGTCTGGCATTGGAGAAGGTGGCTGCATCTTTAGAACTTCCCTGTAAATATCAGGGTTTTGGGTGCATGGGAATATACCCATATTACAGCAAGCTAAAACATGAATCGCAATGTGCATTTAGACCTTATAACTGTCCATATGCCGGTTCAGAATGCGATGTTTTGGGTGATATACCTTACCTGGTGGCCCATCTAAAAGACGATCATAAAGTGGACATGCACAATGGTTGCACTTTTAATCATCGCTACGTCAAGTCAAATCCACAAGAAGTTGAAAATGCCACATGGATGCTAACGGTATTGTTTTGCTGAACCTACTTCTCCCTGCCTTCTATTGACTTCGCACATTAACTAAACTGGTGAAAGATTGTGTTATTTTCACTTATTCTAGTATGTACATGATGTGTTTGTCTTCATCAGTTGCTATTGAAATATAGAACTGATGCAAATTTATCACCCTTTTAACTTTCTGATACTTGCTTAAAAAAAAAAAACAGTCCTCGTTAAATCTCAACTAGTAAGGGTGGAGTGAGGGCGATCCTTGTATGCAATTTTATCATTGTATAATTGCAAAGAGACTATTTCCCAGATTCCAACCCGTGACCTTTCTGATACTTGCTTAAACAAAAAAAGTCATTATATTCCCGTAGTGGGGCATCTCAAAGTTCAATTTGATATTTTGAAGTGCATTAGGAGTTACAATTTTTTATGTGTTCATCGAGTGCTGATGCCGACTAGTTTGAGATAACTGTGATGTTGACGTTGATGTTGCAAAATATGAAAGTTAGCTGATTTCTGGAGCTCACTTTTGTTTGTAGGTTTTCAGTTGCTTTGGTCAGTATTTTTGTCTACATTTTGAAGCTTTTCAACTAGGAATGGCTCCTGTCTACATAGCATTTTTGCGGTTTATGGGTGATGATAATGAGGCAAAGAACTATACCTACAGTCTCGAGGTGGGTGGAAATGGGAGGAAGATGGTCTGGCAGGGGGTGCCTAGAAGCATTAGGGATAGCCACCGCAAGGTTCGCGACAGTTTTGACGGTCTCATCATTCAGAGGAACATGGCTCTCTTCTTTTCAGGGGGTGACCGGAAGGAATTGAAGCTAAGAGTTACGGGGAGGATTTGGAAAGAACAGTAACTGAAGGTGTTCTTTCTTCATCTAGCCATTGTATTAAACAGAATAGTTTGTAGTGGTTTGAATCTTCTGGTCCATGTATTTCTTTTTGTTCAATTTAGGAGGCAATATCTCTTTGCTTACCTTTACATCAAATACATGAACAGGAAGGTGTAACTCTTATCATTATGATATTTTTGAATATAGATGTAGAACCTTAGCGTGCGCCCAATATTCTCCTTTCTTCTGAGTTTATGGACACTCACACCTCAATATTTACCATTTGGATCGTGATCAGTTATCTTTGGTTGTTTCGTGTATTGCAAGGAACATGTTAAAGTAGTTTTAAGAGTATAAAGATCATTCTCCTTTGGCAAGAGAAAGAAATTACTTACAGGGTGGGTAGTTTGTTTTGTCTTTTTAACATGCTTTATGTTGATAATTTAAAAAATTTACATTATTTTCTTACTATTCTTATTTCCAAAATTTTGAACTATACGATATTCTTATTTTTCCAAAATTTACTGGGAGTATTCTTATTTCCAATCTTTTTAGCATGCTTTATTGTGGTATGATGTTATTTGAACATTACTTAAATGGAGTACAAAAAGAAACAATAAAATGGAGAAGCAAAAGCAATTTTTTTTTTTGTACATATAAAGTATGGGAAAAAGGTGTCATTTTAAATGACACACATTGTATCCTTTCATTCTTACAAAGAGGTGAAACTCACATCTTTAAAACTTTTCACTCCACTCTCTCTTCCATGATTTATCTCTTTCTACTATTTAAAATAACATAACTTTATGTCCTTTAAAATTATATACAATTTTCCCAATAAAGTATTGTTCATTTGATGACACCTTAATTTGAGAGAGAATCAATCAAATCAGTAGCATCAGACATAATTTAACGGCCATAAGGGTTGTGAGTTACATCATAAATAGACTCCACTTATGCTAATTTGCAGCAATTAATTGCTTAACATTCATAGGAAATAGGGTTCCATCAAAAAACTCCTTTGCATATAGTTCATTTGCGGCTTCACTCATATGTGCAACATCGAAGAAATAGTACTGCTTCCGATTTTCACAAGGTTTTCTTCCTAGCTCAACACAAGGGTCCGAAATATTTGTGATCCCTACACATTAGATATCAACGAAAAACCGTGAAGAGGTGCACTTATTATTAAAGTGAAAGAGAGAAATCGCATGATAGTTCTTTCTTTTTTCATGAATTTAATTAGCACTCACCAAATTTTTCTGTGTTGTTTCTAATTTGTTGGAAGAATTTGAAACCGTCAAAAGAAATGAACGATGAACCTGAGAGCTGTGTCTGCAACTCTTTAAGCTTCGATGAGAGTTTATCTGGGAAGGGCTTAATCATTTGATTAATAGCTTCATTGCAACCTTTTGAATGTGTATTTCTCATAATATCAGGGATGCACCCAAGTGGTCCAATGCCAAGGATCACAAACTTTCGTGCTCCCAAATCATATATTCTCTGAAAATTAAAGGTTCAAGCAAAGATTAAAATAAAAATAAAATTGATGTATGAAATTTTTTGAAACCAAGTCTGTAAAGAATTATTTCAACGCAAAACTTTATTAAAGTTGTGAATTGAAATGTTTCTTTATATGATATCAGAGCTTATGTGACCATAAGGTCACAAGTTTGATCTTCACTGGCCCCATTTGGACCATGTGCAATATTCACGTTTCAAAGCGGGAGGAGTGTGTTAGAGAATAATATAAATAAAAAAAAAGCCATCACCGAACACTTTAAGATTTTGGATTGAATTAGTTCTTTACAAATTCTGATGTATATATCTAGTCCGCAAATATTTCACCAAGTATTACCTTTACACGAGAAGCTAGTTGCCCGAGTAGGTAATCTGCAAATTGTTGTGGAGTGATCTTTGCATTGGGTGCCATTGCAGATTTCAAATAATTTAAAGCGTAATCATTAGAACCAATGGATAGTAGATATATGGAATTGGATAAGTGACGTTTTAGTTCAATTTCGCCTTTAAGGTTTCTTGGAAGATCATTCTTCGCAGTTGAGGTGAAATAGTCAACTTGTTTATCCAATGACAAGCATCCTCCCTTTGGCACAAAATAAGAATATAGTGAGCGAACAACAATAATTGCAATGTGAATAATAAAGTGGTTAAATTAAAAGCTATTTTCTTCTTACAGCTCTTGTCGAATTCAAGATCCCACACGAGGCTGATGCATAGTTAATCCCCGTGACAACTTGATATCTCTCAGTTTCAGATATACCCAAGTATGGTGGAGGCATTGGTAAACCCAATTTGATAGCTATGCAAAAAAAGACAGAAAAGTCCATATAATAAGTCAAGAAACCATACTTCGTTTTTAAATTGCGAGCATTGCGGCTATTATAATGTCCCCTTAATTTTTTTCTTTTCAATTTTTAAATTTCTTATTTATAAGTTGAAGACAATCATTATTTTAACTCAAAATCTTAACTTAGTAAATGAAAGGCTATTAAAGGTTTTTATATTTTCTTTAACATAATCCCTCACCTAATAACCTTTTGGGTTTGAAACATTGATATTGCACGTGCCCATTTTTTATTTTGTTTTTTACTTTGTGCTGACTTAATTTTACTAGAAAGTCATGGAGGATCGAACTCCTGACTCTGTGGTCACATAGGCTTTATATCATGTAAAACAATCAATTCAACTCAAGAGCTTAAGCTGTTGGGTTGAAATGATTCTTTGCATTATATGAAGTATGGATATTGCACATGCCCATCTTTTTTCGTTCTATCTTATATTGACTTAATTCTTGTGGAAAGTGGGGGCGATGAGTATCAAATTCATGACCGTTTGGTCACATCAAATCTAATATCATATAAGGAATCACCTCACTAAAAATTTAAGCTTATAAGTGTTGATTTTCAATGATTTTATATTATATCTCTTTAATATAAGTTGAAGAGCATTATTTGTGAATGTAAATAATGTATACATTTGCAATACTTGTAGGGCAGAACTTACCAAGAATATCTGCAGAGGTTTTGCCATTGGTAAACCTGCCCGTAGGGCCTTTAGGGAAGTCTATGCCATAAGGGTACATATTTGCCTTAGCAGGTGTCTTGAGATTGTTGTTGTTTCCAGCATCTACGGTTGAATCACCAAAAACATACAATGCTGGCACAAGCCTGTGTGTAGAATCCGCATTGCCCAACAAAACTTGGTGTGTTAGAACGGTTATGACACATAAAAATTTCATGATTGCAATTTCTTTTTGTGTAGCCATTGAAGATGATGAATGATCTTAAGACACACCAAAATCTTGAAGAGGATGAACGCTTTAAATAATGGTTGTTGGGTGGTTAACCTTTTTTAAAATAGGTTGGAAATGGTTTTAAACAGTTCACGTTAAAAATCATTTCAATGTTTTGGTAAAAATCGTTATCTCCCAGCTGGTGCTTTTCGTCCAAAATCTGCTTTTTTGTTATTAGCCGTATAGAATGCACAAGGATCCTGTTAATCAGTTTTTGCTTTCCTTCCCTGATTAGGCAATCACGGTTGCACCAAGTTTCTATTATTTTTCTTTGGTTAGAAAAAATTAGAAAAATACTAAACAAAAATTAAAATTAAAATTAAATTAGTTTACAAATACTAATTCAGTTATACATGGGAAAAGGTAAAAAGTTAAAGCTAACTGTTTTTTTTTTTTTTTAAATTAACTCAACCATAATTATTTTGTTGAGGTCAGTTGGAATCAGTTAAAGGAGCAATACAAAGTACAAGGCGGGTCACAGAGGTGGCAAAATTTTCAAATCCCTCTCCGATTCCACACGCTGGTACAATATTAAAATAACTTATTTTTGTGATCACTTTTTCAAAAGATTATTGTGGATCAATTTAAGTTATATTCTTAATTTTAGATGTTGATTCTAACACGAGGACTTACAATTTATTTCTGTTAAGTTATATGGTTATTCTTTATTACATGTTTTATTATTTTTTCTTTGTTACCTGAGTTAGTTGGGTTAGTTAGTTTGCTAAGTGGCCACGTGGGTCTGTTACTTTCTGTTTTCCTTCGCATGTGGCAACACTATAAGTGCTTTCTCTTGCATGTAAAAGACACTTGTACTCTTCACAATTTTCCTCGGTTATTCAATGAAATGTTTAGTTCAAAGTTCTCTCTTCCTTCGTAAGATGGTATCAGAGCTCTTCACGGAGCTATGATGTTCGCCTTCATCTTCCTTCTTCGATTAAGGTTCACATATTCCTCTTCGTTTTTCTTTTACTTGTTTAGATAGATCGAATTTCCAAATTTTCTTATATTTCAATGGCGAATCTGAGCTCCGTACTAAGTCAAGAAAATGAGAACAATTCAATTCCAGTTTCTACGTCTTCTACATCAAGTGTAAATGATGCTTCAGATCCAGGAAGTGTCTATTTCTTACATCCAAACGAGAATCCGTCATTAGTTTTGGTGTCTTCATTGATGGATGGCAAAAATTACCATGGCAGGGCTAGAGCCATGAAGATCTCTCTTGTGTGAACAAGTTCTCTTCTGTCAATAGAGTAGTTTAAATTCCTGTTGATTCAGATCCTCTGTATGCGGCTTGGGAGAGGTGTAATACCATGGTTTTGTCATGGCTACACCGTTCAATAATACCTTCAATCTCTCAATCAATCATGTGGATGGATCATGCTGTTGATGTGTGGAATGACTTAAAGGAGAGATTCTCACAATATGATGTTTTTAGGATTTCAGATCTGCAAGATGAGATCTATAGGTTACGTCAAGGAGATAGCAGTGCCTCAAATTACTATACACAGCTTAAGATCCTTTGGGATGAATTGGAGGCATTGCAACCAACACCAACATGCAGATGCATTCAGCCTTGTTGTAAAATCGCTTCAGAAGTGAAAAATATTTGGGACAAAGATTATTCAATTTATTTTTTGAAGGGACTTAGTGATCAATTCTGTCATGTGAGATCACAAATCATGTTAACGGATCCATTGCCATCAGTTAATCGAATTTTCTCTTTGATAATGCAACAAGAAAGACACTTGTAGATCGAAGGAAGCATGCAAAATTTTGAAGCCTCAAGAACATTCTACAATTCCTCAGACCAGATTCATGGAAGGGGACGTACTCAGTTCTCTCAATCCTGTGGCAGAGGTCGTGCATACACTAGTGGTCGAGGTAGAACAGGTAATAACAGATTGTGCACATATTGTGGTAGAACTGGGCACACTGTGGAAACATGCTTTAAAAAACATGGGTATCCACCTGGTTACAAACAAAGTAGTACATTGTCCAAGGAAAATGTAGCTGCAGGAACAGATGGAGATCAGGCTACAAAGTCTACAGATTCACAAAATCATCTGAAAGATGGATTCACAAAGGATCAGTATCTAGCCATATTCAATATGATACAACATTCTATGCAGAATGGTTCCTCTCATGTAAGTAACATGGTGGAGGCCAAGGCTCTAAATGTTGAAGCTGTTGATTCTTCTTCAGGTAACTTTGAAACTCAATGGGTTTTAGATACAGGGGCAACTGACTATATCACTTTCTTACTTGACAATTTATCTTGCATTCGAAATATTGAGCCAATTGCTATATCCCTGCCTAGTGGAAGTAAGGTGATCTCTACTCACTCTGGGACTGTCACTCTTTCAAAATTCTTGACATTTAAGAATGTGTTGTATGTCAAAGATTTTAGGGTAAATCTATTCTCAATCAACAAACTGGTCCATGATTCTAAATTCAATGTGATATTTCAGCCTTAGAGATGCATCATTCAACAAACTCTGTCATTGCTAGTGATTGGTTCTGCTGAATTAAAAAGAGGTTTATATACACTCATTCAGCAATACGACAAGCCAGATAATCAGAAAAATAGAAGTTCAAGCATTGAGACTACTCCAAACAGAAGCTTTATAGCAAATTCAAAGGCCACTGATATATGGCATTTTAGTTTGGGACATTGTTCCCCATCTGTAATAAAAGGAATGATGCTACAACATCCATTCATTACCTGTAAAAATATAGATGAACCGTGTGATGTATGCCATATGGCTAAACAAAGAAGATTTCCCTTTAATAATAGTCCTACTGTTTCAAATTCAGCATTTGATTTGATATATGTTGATATATGGGGTCCATATTCAATCCCCTCCATTCATGTCTATCGTTTTCCTCTAACAATAGTGGATGATTGCACATGTCTCACTTGGGGTATACTCATGAGATCCAAGGCAGAAACTAGAAAGCACATTCATGATTTTGTTACACTAATTGAAATCCAATTCAGCACTCCTGTCAAGACAATTCGCAGTGATAATGGGAAAGAGTTCCTAATGCATGAATTCTTTGCTCAAAGAGATATACTGAATCAAACCTCTTGCATTGAGACACCCCAACAGAATGGGACTGTAGAGAGAAAACATCAGCATATACTTAATATTGCAAGGGCACTTCTTTTCCAAAGCAACATTCCTATAAGCTTGTGGTCATATTGTATAATGCATGCCATTCATTTTATTAATCGGCTTAATTCACCTACACTGCACAACAAGTCTCCTTATGAATTGTTGCACAATAAGCCACCAATTTTGATGCATTTGAAGACATTTGGCTGTCTAGCATATGCTTCCACAATATCTAATGCTCGTCTGAAATTTGATTCTCGGGCTAGAAAATGCATACATCTTGGCCACAAAGAAGGAGTAAAGGGTTACATGTTATATGATCTGATGTAAAAGGAGATTTTTTATCTCACGCAATGTGATCCTATATGAGAATGTGTTTCCTTTTTCTAAAGAGACATCAAACACACTAGGCCAACTTTGGCCATTTACAGTTGAATCATATGTTTCTTATGATATGCCTCGTATGCCTCAATCTGTAGGCCCATATGCATCACAACCATTTGATATTGCATCCAACATTGCCCCTCTGTCTCATCAGGAAGAATCACATAATGGCCTTAATGCCTTGCCAACTGATCTGATCAATTCTCCACAAGGCTTAGAAAGGGAAGACTCAAATGATCATTCTAATGACTCTACAGATCATCAATCAAATCCTCCACGTCGTTCAACAAGGATGAGAACTCAACCAAAGCATCTGAATAATTTTATATGCAACAATTTACTTACCACTGAAGTTTCTTCACATAACTGCAATTATCCAATATCTTCTGTTGTTTCTTATGATAAAGTTTCCTCTGCACATTCCTCTTTTTTCCATAACATAAGTTCTTTTGTTGAACCACAAACATATAAACAAGCAACTCAATCCAGTGAGTGGATAGCTGCTATGAACGCAGAAATAGAAGCATTGAACAAGAATCAAACCTGGATTTTTGTGGACTTACCCCCTGGCAAACGACCAATAGGTTTCAAACGGGTTTACAAAGTAAGATGGATCCATTGCAAGACATAAAACATGTCTTGTGGCAAAAGGTTATAATCAGATGAAATATGTGGATTATTTTGAAACCTTTTCTCAGTTGCAAAGTTAACAACAATTAGACTCCTCTTGGCAATAGCTGCAGCTTGTGGGTATTATTTGAAGTAACTAGACATCAACAATGCTTTCCTCCATGGTGATCTCTTGGAAGAAGTATACATATCTGTTCCTGAAGGAGTTTCTTCTCCTCATCCCAACCAAGTATGCAAACTACAAAAGTCACTTTATGGTCTTAAACAAGCAAGTCGAAAATGGAATGCTCGTCTTACTACTGAACTACTAAGCATTGGTTACTCTCAATCTTCAGCTGACCACTCACTGTTCACCAAAGTTAGTCATGATTCATTTACTGCTTTACTTGTATACGTAGATGACATGGTGCTTGCTGGGAACAATCTGGGTGAGATCAAATCTGTCAAGGCACATTTAGACCAGCTATTTCATATTAAGGATCTTGGTCCTTTGAAGTTCTTTCTTGGCCTAGAAATAACTCGTTCATCTCATGGCATAATTGTTAATCAACGAAAGTATATTCTAGAATTACTTTCAGATGCTGGACTTCTTGGAGCAAAATCTGTTTCCACTCCTATGGAACCCACCTTAAGACTATACCAAGATCAAGGAGAACCTCATAGTGATCTAGCAGAGTACAGAAGACTTGTTGGTCGATTATTATACCTTGCAAACACTAGACCTGACATAACCTTTGCCATTCAACAACTTAGTCAGTTTGTCTCACGGCCAATGACAACACATTTTAATGCAGCATGTAGAGTTCTTAGATATCTTAAATGTGCACCAGCCAAGGGTTT